ATTGTATTTTATTTGCTAAACTCACGGCAGTATATTCACGAGGAGGATAAATATATTATCTTATTTTTAGAGAGTAGTTTTTTATTCTCTACACCAGTTCGTAAGTTATATTACAAATAATCCCAATTGAACGAAAAAAAAAAATCTGTCCTAATACGTCCGATAAAAAAGATGATGAGATATTCTTCCGAAGCATGGATTTGTTGACGTTGAGCAGCGGCAACTATTGTCATTGGCGGTGGCGGTCAAACGGTGTCGTTTTTCTAGAAACAGATCTCAGAACAATAACATTCGATCAAACGGTGAAAAAATTCTAAGAAATTAGTGACCACAGCAACAAATTTGACCATTCTCGAGCTTGGTTATGTCTTTACTGTTACCGTAATGTATTATTTTAATTTGGTATAGTATTGTCATATTTTACGTCCTCAGAAAAAAATTATTATTTCGAACGCAAAAAATAACAAATTTCGGACTTGACGAATCGAATGCCATTCAGAAGCAACAAAAATCATCGTGGGCTGAAAGGGCATGATATATTTCTCAATTTAATACCTCCACTTGAATTCGACTTAGTGATATTTTTTTATTACTTATCGCTTGGCATTTCAGAGAAAAGGATGACAAAATGACTTATGCTTTGGTGATAATTCTTGAAAATAATGAAGAGAAAATTATTCCCTTGAATGAGATATACCAAAGATACACCAAAGATGGTGAAAAATTATCAGTGACACCTCGAACATTACGTGATGCAGGGAATGGTCGGTCATCACCCTTAAAAACCTTCCAAGGTGGCGTAGAAAGAACTCTCGTAGTTATATCAACAGGGGGTGAGTGAAAAAATAAACAAATATTGTACATAACTATAACTATTCTCTGAACATATATGACCATTACCATTTCTGATAATCATTCATTCTATCAGTATATTCTCTTATAGTTAATGACTGAATGTGGCGTTGGCATGATGTCTTTCATTTAGATCAATCAGAATAATTCTGATCGCGCCAATCTGCTTCGAGTATGCAAATAAATTTTTCAATCGGTTAAAGTGGGGTGCCAACTTCACACAGCTAGAATATTTGTACCCATTCCTGCAAAATTGTCAAAATATTCCTGTCCTCACATTTTTTTCTTATCCCTCAATTTCTTCTTTATAGGACTACTTGAGGAAGAATTGCCATAGAAATGTGACATAAGAAATAAAAAAAAATTGAATCTCACCACAATTATGAGTCACATGTCTTTTGTAGGAGACAAGTAGTCACTTCTTTGTTTCAATCTACAGGAAAAATTAATTTGTTTATATCACATTCTTTTCTCATTTTTTTTTTGCGATGATGATGCGAACATCAAATTTAAAGATAAGGAAAACTGTAAAATCGATAATATTTCGAGAACTTCGTAGGATATAAATATTTCGATTGATACATGACATTAGATCGATTCACTTCCAACCGATATTAGAATAGAATCAATCGGTATGAGAAACTGTAAAGTGGGGAAAAAAATACTTGAATCATGCATATTTTATACTTGACTCAAGTCTTTATTATTTTTCGTGTAGTCACAAAAGTAAAGTGCGATGGCTCCCATTTCCTCCTCTTCCGACGAAATAAATTGAGAACTACTGTCGCGCAAACATTGTCCTACAATCACGGTCCTAGTAACATATTTTTTTCAGTTTCATGATATTCTCAACCATTATGATACATTTATAAATCTCCGTACATTTTCCACTAAAATTCGGAAGTGAAAAGATTCTTCAATTTCAAGCGTTCCATCGCAAGCAACAAGAAATCCAGCTAAGAAAATAACAGGTTTTTCTTTGTGGGCTTTTTTTGGATAATCGGTATAAGAAAAAAAGAAGTCGCAACTAATTTCATTTGAAAGAAAGAGTTCAAAGATATATATAGAAGGTGGAAAATCGATTAATACATTTATACCGAAATTATAAGCCTTTGAAAACAGAAGTTTGAAAATCGCTTCGAATGGTTCGTCGAAAATTGAAAAAAAAAATCTTTACATCTAGATAGTTTTTGAAAACCTACTGTCCTAGCTAGTATCTCAGCTTGCAGCTAAATGTTTGATATTTTGAACTTCGTATTTTCAGTTCCCCACTATTAGAAAGTGTAGCTTTCCTAATTTTGTGTTTGCACACGCAAGGAAGAGGGAAAAGTATAGGAATTTATTTGAAGACAGGGCAGCAAAAACTTATTGGAACAAAAAATCAGTCAATACAAAATTTAACTATTGTCCTAAAAAAACATCACAGTAATATTCAACGGGTTTTTAACATTTGTATGAATTGAAATGTCAAATTAACGTCTGTGCAGTCATACATACAATCTTGTAAGAATTGAAATTTCCTTTTATTGAAACGAGACCGAACACGCACTTCGCGCGCCCCATTTGATTTCGTTGTGCTGATGATGACATAGCCAATTGACCAATGAGAAATTAGTTTTATTTGGAATGGCCAATGAGAATTGGGGTTACGCGTGAAAAGTGTTACGCATGAAGTTAACCAATCGTACTCTCGGCCAATTAACTCCGAAATTACGAAAAAACTACTCAACGAAACGATTGAAAATAGAATCCATTTACTGTAAAGAAATTTTGGTAATATTCCACTAATCATTAGCATGCAACATGACTTGCAGCCTTAAAAGTGACTACAATAATGTACAAAATTATATTTTTCTGCAGATAACCCATCTAACATGACAAGAAACCAAACGGGAAGATCAAAGAGGGCGCTAAAGCCAAAAATAATCTGGGATTCGTCAAGAAATCTCCCCCTTTTGCCGACAATGGGAGATTGCCAAGAAAATAGAGTGAGTGCTCACTCCTTCTATGAAAATACGGCTGATTAGTAGATTCCAGTTTCATTCATTATTTTTTGGACCATTTGTGTCCATCCGTGTGAAATGAATTTATTTTGTCACATGTAGTTTCCAAAATAGTCTCATTTTTATTTTGACGCTTACCATTGATCGAATTTTCTGATCATCGATACTGACGGGGTTTACCATACTATTATATCATTTTTTGGCTTGAAATTAGAGAAATTTAACCAAAATTATCGGAATATATGTAACTCTAATACCGTCGTGGCGACCTCTCCATGCGGATAGCCATTTGCACGATCCATTTACTGGACTACCATATTTATGAATCAACAGTGTACTTGAAGGCTTTAGGACTCGAAAGACTAAAATGCATTTCGAGAATTAGTGCATGCCAGCAACTTACTTATTTTTTACACGATAGATTGCAAAGAAGGATATTACTGACCGAATGAGCATACATGAAGATGAAGATGAGGGATTTAAGGATGATAATGCAGAGAAGGAAATTGAAAAGGATAAAAAACAAAATACATATACACTGGAGGACCAGGATTCTGTGGATTTGAAAAAAATTCAGATGACCCAAGAAACTCCACCACACACCATTGTTGAGAAAGAAGGCCGACACATGATCAATGACGAGGTAAATAATTAGTATAAATCATCGTTGGACCTAACAAAACATTTCTGGCGAATGTGAATTAGCCGCCAGACCTGAAGGCAACAGTTCAAGTCATATAAGCTATAATAGTCTTATGTTATGAATGGATACATCCAGATTCTATAACTGTTATAATATTTAATGAATAGTAACAGAATATTTTAACAGTGTATAAAGTAGTGGGATGAGGCGAGTAACATGATGTTTTTGGTGAGAGATTTGTGTAGATTTTTTATTTTTAACTGAAACATGATTCTTACTACAATAACGCTAATCTCATACGACGAGGTGTAGATGGATGTTTTTATTCAGAACCATCAAGAGGCATACTGGACGTGATTTACTCTGACGTTACTAGCTTGACTTATCCCGAAAACCGACCTCATATCAGGCCAATTTGTGGCAGGAAGACGAACCTGTATCTTTGTATTGAAGGAAATTCTACAACTCTTGAATAAAAAAAACCCTATCCCAATAGTCCAACAGGAAATAAACTATTTATAGTTTTAAATCTACTGCAATGTTGCTTGAAAATTTCGATTTTGCTAGAAATTTCTTAAAGATAAAAATTTATAAATATTTTTGTTTCTCACTTAGTTCGTGAGGCTGCTGTAAAACCGAAATTTTTCAATTGATATGAAGAAGAAGAAAAGTTCCTCACGGGCTAGTGTCAAAATATACAAACAGCATTCAAGAATGTCATTTATAAGAACATGTTCCCCGACATCACGCGGAAACAACCTTATATAAGTTCACAGACTGATTACAGCTTTTCGCTTATTTTTTTTTAGTTTGAATGTCATACATGTTAATGTACTGGTAATATATTAATTCCTTAGTAAATACTAATTTGTTTAAATACCAAAAACAAACGAAAATCTGCAAAAAAATCAGAAACCAAGTACCACCTTTTTTATGAATAAGTGAAAACCTAATAAATTCTGCATTTCACTTTTTAAATAAAAAGGATTTGTTCGGGATCATAATTAATTTATTCATATTTTCAATTTTCCCACATAGATACCTTGCTTTCCAAGAAGAATTTCTGACAATTCGAAAAATTTTTTATATTTATTTATAAGCAACGAATGCCTATGAAAATAATAATTCTGTGAAAAAGGTGATTTTAACGTTCCCAGGTATTTATGATTTTTATTTAATTTTAACATTCGAATGGAAGCATTACAATCGTTCAATTGTTCGATTTTCAAATTTTGCCTGGAAATTATTTAGAACGGTCTGAAACATAAAAATGCGAAGTTTGAGGGCCACGTGTGTGTGCGAATGGTCAACTGATGGTCAACTTTTAGGAACAGGGAACAATAAACGGATCAATTAATTCCCAAAAATCTGATCGTCAGTTCGTAGGTCCTGATATGGACTTCATCTGTGCTAAATTTTAGTCAGATCGGCGAGTAGCGTTCGAGATATCAGCCATTGCTTCTGAAACGTTTTGTGCAAATATGTCAGAAATTATTGAACCGATTTCATTTTTTTTAATGTTCGTCTTAATGTGCCCTACATAGCTCACGTCAGAATATATACATGGCTTCCTACAAAGTTAGTCAGATCTTTCCATTTTTTTTTTTTCAAATAAATTCGTAGTTCGCGCACTTTGATTTTTTATAATCAACCGATCAACTTGAAATTCGGCAGAAAATTTCCTCTATTGACTATAATGTTTCCTATTCAGGTAGAGCTGCATTGGATGATTCGTTTAGGAGATATTGCTCTTTTTATTTTCGTTGCAAAAATCGTTATCGGAATATAGCCACGGATCCATTCGGAAGCGCACTACCAGTTGTATGGGTAGGAATGAAAAATGATAAATAAAAACTGATGCATAAAGTAATGGTTAAATGTCTCATGCCAAATAGACTCTCTATTCACCATTTTAAATGCGTGAACAGGGTGTATGATGGAATATCCAAATAATTTCAATATGTATAAACTTATGAAACGAAGCAGTGTGAAAAAGTATACCTTCGTAACTTTATTTCTCAACTTTATGCTTAAAAAGTACGATCTCCGCAAATTTAAATAATTGCGTTAACTTATTTATATTCAACAAATATATTAACAAATACTAGGAACGAAGTTATGATGTTTTTTCCACATTTTCTCATGCAATTTGAATGACAAATCTGATATTTCAAAAAAGTAGAATCTACGGTATGGTCTGTCTTGCCTTATGAAAATGTTTGCATATCCTTACCACTTTTTACATAATAGGTTACAAAAGAAGATATTGCTACCGAAGCTTCTACCAACGATACACCTGAGTTGGTCGGTAATGCAAGAGGAATTAACAAAGATCAAGTTAAAAAAGACGGGCATGAAAATCATGAAGTAGGAATGATGAAATCGAAATCAAATTTGACCATTAGAATAATTCGTTCGGAGTTATACCAAATGTATTCATGTTTACAATTTTTCGATTTCAAAGATTGTGGAGAAAAATGGTTGGGATTCCGTGGCAGAATTCATCAAGCCGTTCAATAGTGTTAACGATGACGCAGATAAAAAAAAGGATGGTCAAAAATTGGAGAAGAATGGGAAAAACATCAACCAGTCGAATCACATTCTGGCACAGACAACTGGAAACTCATTAGCATCTGATCAGTATCCCGCTAATGCCAAGGTAACAAAAAACCCTTTGCATTCTTATTAAATCATAGTGGACGGCGATGCAAAACGAAAGACTCGAAAAATGACCATTTGCTGCAATTCAAGCAATTTAAAAAAAATTCTCTTTCAATTAACTGTTTCATTATTAACTTTCATTTTCATTTTACTTTTTTAAACATACCAATAGATATAGCGCAAAACACCGCAAATTGTAATAAATAATATGAACTTACAAAATAATCGCAGAAAATTAGCAATACTTACTCATAGAGTTTCATCGTAGAATACCTGAACATGAATTTTAGAAAAAACGAATATGACATCGATGATTTGGTAAATTTCCGGATTTTAGAACTAATTAAAGAATTGTCAAATATAAGCAGGTCATCGCTTACAAAACTATGACACCTTATCCACGAAGTCACAGTGTGAGGGCCGAATTTCCAAGTAACGGAATACATCCTTAACTCTGAACCGAATTAGTTGATTTTTAGTTTAAAATACTTTTCTTGAGCCTCCTATCCCGATCAATCAAAATACCCGTTGTGACCCTGGCCTGGGAATTAAAATATAATAATTCCCGGCGTGGGCACGATATTGGGGAATTGATGATATTCTGAAAAATTAGGGAAATTTAATATAACTTACGGGAGGACCTGAAAATAATAAGAGGGAGGGGGGTTCTCAATAATTACTCGGGTTGATTTATAATTTGACACTCTATATTCTGATCTCATCACAACATATTAATATGAAAAATAATCCGGGCCTTTTAACTAATAACTCGAGGGTGGGGGGTAAGGCCAACTCACTTGCGGCTACGCGAAATATTATACAATAAAAAGAAGGGGTGATTCGAACTCTGGAAAAAGGGGGAGAAGTGAGGGGGGGCCGACTGAAAAGTTATTAATTAATAGGGGGCTTAATTGACAATAACAATGAATTTACAGGAGGCTCACCGTTGGGGGGGGAAATTAACATGGGGCAGGGAAATTCGTTGGGGCAGGGAATAAAAATGGGGCACTCACGGGGAATGGTGTCGTCAAAATTCTCTTCCTCGGGGTTTATCCTCCTTCCTTCCGTCTCTCTCCTTGCTCTGCCGGGATCGACGTTCTCCAAAAAATCCTCCACACAATTCTCCTTCA